GATTAATGTCTAGACCGTGGCACATTAGAAAAGATAGGACCTTTGTTTGATTCCTGGTTTATTTTGAACTATCAGCTTTTCTATTAAGCCCAAGTTCATATGATCTTCAACAACTCCTCAATCCCATACGAGTCAAAGCATCTTGACCGCATGAACAAAAGTCTTGTCTGTGATTATGTCCGGTTGGTATAATGAGCAGATTGGTTATTATGGCTTTTCTGTTTGTTTGGTTGGAAAGTTTAATCAATAAAGTAAAGGGCAAGATATTGTCTGCTAAAAGAAATATTGGCAAGATCCGACTATTAAGTGCTCGTTTGAGTCTCATCATTATGAAATATCATCATGAATCTCTTTTTTTTCTGTAGTAATTTCATCTGGGAGTTAATCATACATGATGATTTTTCTTTTACAGAAAAGTTACAGCAATGAAATCCATTAAGAACTTATCAATAGTTGGTGGACAAAACCATGTGAGTCTTAAAGGTACATGTCCTTTAAACAGACCCCATTACAGTTGTACTCTTCCCCACTCAACCCATTTTAGATTATTGCCCTCACAGCTTCTGCTCCTATCCATTATGCATATCCATACATATAAATATATAATTATCCCATTCGAGGATAGTCACAAAGTATAAGCCTCTATTCCTTCTCGAAAGTCCTAAAAATTCCAAAAAGCTGCCTTACAACTTTCAAACACATGGCTATTCACTTGCCTAAGATTCTTAGCTCAAAACAGATGGTTAGGCGAATTCTTTCATCTCCAGAGACCAACAAAGTACCAAAAGGTCATTTTGCGGTTTATGTTGGAGAGACTCAGAAGAAAAGATTTGTTGTGCCAATCTCATTCCTGAAGCATCCTTCATTTCAAAGCTTGCTCAATCAGGCAGAAGAAGAGTTCGGATTCAATCATCCAATGGGCGGTGTCACCATCCCGTGCAGTGAAGAAGTATTCATTCGCCTAACTTGTAATTGCTAGGATCAATAATGGCTAGTACAGGACTATACATTAGTACTGTAACCACTGCTTACAGTGCTAAACGATTTTGTAAAGAGAGCAGATATATACATAGTGTTTGCCTATGTACATATTGTTACTTCCCTAAATTCTTCTTAGTTCAAGTATTTATATTAACTGGAATTTAGAAATTTTCTGTCCTCTACTTAATCTTGTCTGCTAATGGCACATTTAAGAAACTAGTATCTTGAGTTCTGATGCCATTATCAATTGCTAAATTATAAATAATTTTCTTAAAAGATTAATTTATGAGAAAATGATTCAATTTATTATTCATATTATTACACAAAGTAGTGGGAGATTATTTTCTTCAGGTTCATTGACCCTTCACAACCTAGGTGAGATTCAACTCCAACTTAAGGCACAAAGCAAGAGGCTTAATTACTTAATCTTAAAAAAGTCAATCCACCAATTCATGGACTTCTGACCTTGCTAGCACCAACATCATGCACTATGGGTAAATTAGAAATTAATGACTTGAGCTCGAGCACCTAAAACCAATAGACTTTTCGAATTATTCATTTAGTACTCCAAGTACTATTGATTTCTGTAGATCACTAGTTGATCACCAAAAAAGGGTCCCCTGAATCAATCATGCCTTTTACAACAGCAGCATCTCCATATGCATCAGCCTTTGATCGTCTGGAAAATGATTCGACAATGACAAGGCATGTAGTAGGACACTGTCATGTGAACTTCATAGACTTTGTTTTCAGTTGCATCCTGAAGGCCATTCTTTTTTAGCAACTTACTAGAATTATGGTTCTTGCTATATGGTAACATAGCTAATAGCCATTTGGAACATAAATATCTTATCCGCCAACTTAGATATTTAGTAATTTAACAATCTTATTCTAATCAGTTATCACTATAAACAAATAGCATCTATAGACATAGCCTGGTAATAAGTGTATCTCTCGATTTTGGGGGGCGGGAGGTGG